GACATATGGTGGGGTGATGGTAGTTTGAAGTCAGAAGTCAGAAGTCAACTACGGTTAATAGACTTTTTCACTGTATGAGTATATGCTGCCCAGGGTGCACCGCGTGGAGGTAAGTCTATCGCCCACCCCTCTTTTTAAAAATATAAACGGAGGGTTACGAATTCTCTTATGTTAAAATCATGTTCATCATAATAATGTATGTAATTTAATTAAATTTGCTAACTGGTCAATGAGTGTTGAGCACTGTAGACATCAATTTTTGCAAGAAACTGATAACCAATCCTGAAATTGGAACAACAGAATATGAAGCAGTGGACAATTTCCATGAAACCCACAGCACTTAATCTGAAGCTAACTTAAGACGCCGCAAGGCTTCTTTGAAACCTTGGCTCAATCCTCTTTAGTGTTTTCCGTACTAAGGTGTTTTAACTAAAGAGAAAATGGAATAAGTTGCTTTGGGTACTAAAATTTGTGGATTGTATAAGGTACTAAATCTTGGAAATGGTTTGTTTATGGCCAGATTTAGAAAATGCCAATGGCTCACTCTAAATACAGTGAAGTTTTCAATCCAATAATTATTGAACTAAATGGTTTCTACACTTGAATTTCTATTAAGCTCAAATTGACAGTCAACTGAAAGTGGCATTTTCGTCGGCTTTTGTCTCATTATCCTTTGTTCTTTCAAGTCTCTAGAAGGCGCATGATTTTTCATGCTTATCATTCCTGTGCATAATTGAAATTAGGCAGTCTCCACGCATAAATCATTTATGCTCACTTGGCATAACGGCGCAACGCATTTCAGAAAGCCGTGCATTTAAGCATCTCCTCCTCGAAGCACATCCTACAGAGATGATTGAGAAAACAGCTCTCAGTTTATTGACCCAGTAAAGCGATTATTAATCTTTCTAATAAACGAATAGGTGAAGTAGTTTCGTAAAGCTGAGCCTTTCCTGTGCATCAATTCGAACATGCTCATCAACACAATAACTTGTCCGTTTTTTTGAGCGAAGGTCTACTAAAGGGTAATTTAAGAGTTTTTTATTGGTTATTATGAGTCCTGGCTACAGTGATTGATGAGCACTACTTTCGATCCTTTTCGAGAGTGTACCTCTAACGATTTACCGAAATGTGCACATATGTTTGCTACTGTAGTAATGCTATTTCCTAATGTTTACTTTGATATATAAAGCTACAAATGCGTAGAGAATGGGTTAAATGGTGATATTTATTTTCCGTTCCCTTCAGTCTCTCAATTACCCTCGGTTGGAGGCTCACTCATACGTTCTCTTGGACGTCTACTTGATTCTTCTCTGGTCTTGTACAACACTAGCAGCAATCGAGGTCAAATTACATCTCCTAGACCACGTTCTGATGATCCGAGCAGTAGGAGTAGGCATTTTCGTCTCCGACAGCGTAACCAAAATCATGATGCATTGGCTGCAGATCTCGAAAACACTCGAGAGCAGATTTTGGGACAGATATTTGACCTCTTGTCGAATCTTGCATGGTTTGGTGAAGCGCTGGGTTTCTTCGCAAAGGTAAGAACATGTATTTCAATTACATTTCCTAGGTTTTAATCTCATTCATTGTTAATCATTTATTTATTTCAAATGGCAGGGGTTTTGATAAGTATCATTAGCCATTTAGCTGACTTCGGGCTTCCCAGAGAGGAGGAAGAACATCAAAGTCACAAAAATTCGAGAGGGGGAAGCAGAAGAGTGATTAACAGATGTAAAAGAGATAGACAGACAGAGAGACAGACAGACACAAATGCAGAGAAAAGGTAAGATAAGTACTGTGGAAGTGATCGAATATGGCATACAGTGGGGTAATGGTAGTTTAAAGTCAGAAATCAACTGCCGATTAATCTCATTTATGTCTAATCATAAAGGCAGTGGGGATTTTGCTAGCCTTATGAAGGAGTTCATATGACTCACATTTCCTTTTCATCTGTTATATAGAAGATTAGTATGTAGGCACTGTGGAATACATCACATCTGTTGAAGTAATTTTGCTATGATTTGAATTTTCTAGAGTGAAGTGAATTTGTTAATTGAATGCTCCTATTTTATATTTTCTATCTATCCATACGAATTTTAAAGAAAGAAAATAACCGCAAAATGTCTTCTTATAGTTTTGCAATAATCTTATTGCATATCTACGTTGTCTATCGTCGTGTTTTGCTCACAGGTTTTAAGTTTAATGATCTCTTTACATGTTTGTGTATACCTCATTGTCCCTTCTTCAAGCAACTCATTAATCATTTCAATTATCTACAACATGCTTTGAGTGTTCTACTTCTCCATTAAATTAACTTTCAGCTAAGTGGTGACAAATTTATTGCCGTCATGGAATTTGTTTCTTTCCAGTATCGTGGTAGCTGGGTTTGGACAGCTGGGCACTCGTCTAGTATTTGTATAGACTGGGGTGTGCGATAGACTTATCTCCACGTGGTACACCCTGGGTAACGTATACTCATACGGCAAAAGTCTATTAACCGGCAGTTGACTTCTGACTTCAAACTACTATGATCCCACTGTATGTCATATTCGACTACTTTCACAGTACTCACCTCACCTTTTTCACTCTACCTTTGTGTCTGTCTCATTTACATCTTTGAAACACTCTTCTGTCCCCCCTCCCGATTTTTTTCACTTTGATGTTCCTTTCCCTCTATAAAGCCCAAAATCAGCTAAAGGGTTAATGATAGCTATCAAAACGCCTGCCATTTGATATTAATAAATAAATATTTGTATAGACCTGAAGTAAATTCAATTATTGTTACTCATGAGTCTACTCGACCTAAGATTCTTAAATTGATAACGAAGCCAAAGCCAGACAACCGCTCTGGGTCTTAATCCACAAGTTCACTTTCGCGTACGTATTCCAGGTGCGTTGTCCAGATCTCATCTCTCCAACACTTTCCACTCTCCTGTTTCTCTCCTTAGTCTTTGAAGTCATTAGACTTTGAGGCGAATATTTTAATCAAATTATCAAATATCCAAACATGGCATTTGCGCTAACTTCAATTCACCTGGTGATTTTTCTAAAGTGCATAATGGAGAATCTTCACACTTAATGGCACGTCGGTTACATTTTCATGGGAAATTGTGCACATTTAAAGTTTGTTTCCCAAATACACATTGATATTTGAAAGTGTGCAAGCAAAAAGTATTTTTTTTAAAGAAAGTTTGTGAATTTTGGGTTAATGTTTGTTATTCGAAGAAAGACGCACATGGTGTTCCTATTTTTGTCCACAAATGTAGCAACAGCCTTAGGGTTAATTTAAGCATATTTACTTGAGCATCGTTCTATGCTGGTAAAAGTTTTTCAGTCACCATTTGAGTTTCGAATGATAAGTGGTACGAAAATCGAAAGTAATTTTTCTACACACTTTCCAAAGTCCACAGATGGTCAATTCTGTCTGAAACTTACTTCAAAGACCTCGATCACTTCCCCCGCTCCTCCACCCGCGAAAAATGTTCTTTCACTCCAGTATCTCGAATGCTGGCTTATGAATATAACTTCTAATAAACCTTTACGTTTGACAAGCTCAACTCTGTTGTATTTATTTAAATAGGCCGAGTCACTAGGTTAACTGAGAGATCATGAAAGTGTAAACTAAAATTGATCCAAATTATGTTACAATTCCTGGGGTGTGCGATAGACGTGCACCCTGGGCAACGTATACTCATACGACAAAAAAATCTATAAACCTATTTCTGACTTCAAACTACCATGACCCCGGTGTATATCATATCCAACCACTTCCACAGTACTCACCTCACCTTTTCTCTCCCTTAGTGTTTGTCTACCACTTTTACATATTTAAATTGCTCTTCCATACCCCTCTCGACCTTTTCTCACTTCGATGTTCCTCCCCTCTGTGAAGTCCGAAGCCCACTAAGGGGCTAATGATAACCATCAGAACACCTGCCATTTGAAATGAGTAAATGTTTTTATTTCTTAAGTCATCAGTTTAAACCTACTAATTAAAAGGATATTTACATTTAGCAAACCTGTGTGCCCTATTCGTGGTTGATTATGAGCGAAAATGTACTGTTTTATTAGTTGAAATAATGCCTATACTCTTGAATTGCAGTTTAATGGGATATCGACCTGAGCCTAAGTATTTTAGTAATGGGAAAATAAGATCGTGAATATCTTTTCTTCTAAGTGAAGTTAAATGTGGCCATAGCCTATCTTTATGTTTTTCATTTGATGAGGTCAAATAAGTGTTAGTAATTGTTTTGTCTAACTATACTTTGTATTGTACGATTTATCTAATAAGTGAGTATTGATTTCATTAGTTGACACTTGCGCTCTCGACGCAGTCTCCAAGATAATAGTTGAAAAGTGGAATTGGGATATTTTTTGGCCCATGTAGCTTTGTGTAAATTGCTTTTGTATGAAATAGATCAATCAATACTGATGAATACTTGAACAGAAATTTTTTTAATTGGTTTGACCGTATTGCACATTGGTAAAAACTGAAATTTACTTCATTATCGTCCCACCAATTGTGTCTTGATTATAGGTGGATGTGTTCGAAAGTTTTGCTTATTATTACATCACTGTTAGACATTTGATGCCTTTTTGCTTATTATCATTCGAATTTATTTAGCCTAATATAAAGATAGCAGTCTTCAACCTGGAATATTGTAGCATTTTGACTTAATTGTCTACGTACTGCTCAGGTGAAATGTTGGGAAACATAGTTTAGGGCCACTGGTCTCAAACTGTCATTCTTTTAAACGAGATACCATGTAAAGCTTTGATCTTGTATGCATCCTTTAAACTTTGGCCCATAAGACACGAATTCCTTTCTATTTACCCCTAAAAGCGTCCTGCATAGTAAGTTGCCTATTAGTATTGGCTGTTTCGCATAGTTCCTACATTGACAATCAATAATCATTGAAGGTTTGCCTAACTCTGAATCGGGTGTCAAATGTCTATTGGGCTTTGGATTATTATGCTTGCATTGTATGCAATAGAAAATCACCTCCACTTCACTTTTATATAAATATATTTTTTTTTATTTATACCAAATGGCAGGCGTTTTGATAGTTATCATTAGCCATTTAGCTGAATTCGGGCTTCATAGAGGGGAAGGAATAACAAAGAGAAAAATTCGAGATGGGGGGGGGGGACAGAAGAGTGCCTAAAAGATGTAAAAGAGACATACACAAAGGTCGAGAGTAGGGTAAGGTGAGTACTGTAGAAGTGGTGGAATATGGCATACAATGGGGTGATGGTAGTTTGAAATGAGAAGTCAACTACCGGTTAATAGACTTTTTTTGCCGTATGGGTATACGTTACCCAGGGTGCACCACGTGGAGGTAAGTCTATCTCATACCCCCTTTTATGTAAATAAGCCTGCCTCATATAGATTTGAAGTGTTAAATCCACGCCTATTATAATTTTACTCATCTCCTCTCTCAACGCTGTTTTGCTTATAAAATAAAATCGAATGCAAACTCGCTGCATAATTCATTCGTTCATTCCACGTTTCCTACTTTTTCAAGAGAGAGAGAGAGATATGGAGGAAGAAATGCAGCTTCTGCTTTCGAAAAGAAGAGCAAATAATCGTAATTGGAAAAGATTGTTGTTTATGATTAGTCATCTATTTAAAATAAATCGGTGATAGGGGGAGGGAGGGGGTGGGGTAGGGTTGGCGGAAACAGCAATTGAATAACTTCAGTTTTGGACTTCGAAAGCACATCATAATTTTTTTGTATCTCTTCGGTTGTCCTCGCTATTCCAAAAGTAGAGCTAAATAAACGTTCACTCAGGAAATGAAGGATAAATTTTCTTCGAAAAAACCCTTCGAATCAATTTGACGTTGTGTTTTCCTTTTTTTGAAAGTGGCTGCTTTCAGACAATCGAACTGTTTCATTCTTTACCTGAGGAGAGCTGTGGAGGCAGTGAAAGTGGAATGCTTTGAAGTTAGTAAATGAACTACTGACGAACGGATCATTTAGTGTGTGGAATTGATTGGCAACAAATTCTTAAAGGTCCTATTGTGACCTCTAACATTTTCTACTTATTCAAAGCGTTTTTTGGTTCTATTAAAATAGCAATCAAAAGCGGAAATTGGCTATAAGGTGTATTTCCAACCTTATTTGCGAATTTACTGGTTAATTCCGCTCTAATAGAGCACATTCGAAAAACTTAAGCAGTACATCAAATACATATTGTATAGATTTCTTTGTGTTTTCTTCCAGGCCAAAATCTTATCTCATTTCACAACTCTGGACGCAAAAGCCTTGGCTCGCGTCCCAAAAGCACAACACCTTCAACGTCTATGGCTTCAATTCATCACCAATTTGACCTTTACTCGTGAAGGACAGGCTCTTCTTTTGAACCATTCAGGTATTTTGGTTTAATTTTCCTTTTCAACATGTTTGTCTCATAATATGCCAACTACAGCGTTAGAGTAGGTTTGATTTTATGGTTAGATTTTAGTTTTTTGGCCATCCTTAAGTCACTAACGATTTGCAAATGCCCGAAATATATAATTAAATAGTTGGATAATTAGCTTCGACAGGTATAATCAAATTATCTTGTTTTTTTTCTAGTGGACACTTCTGGGCAACTGGAATTGTTTTCATAATCGAGGTTTTTTAGCAGCAGTAGTAGGCTATGCAGTCTGGCCTAAGATTAAGAAATAACCACCCATGGGGTAAGATTGAGTTTGAATTGCCAGGTGGTCATTGAATATTCGGAGTTTGGATTTTTATGCTGCTTCTTCATACTTCTGATCGACCTGGATGTTCCATTTGAGTAGTAGCGATATGTTGTGCATTATGGTTAATATTTCGATTGGAATCTTTGATCAGCTTCCAGCTTCTTTTTGACAGCAGGTGCGTGGAACTAGGTTCTATTCACCACTTTGTAAATGGTCAAAGCTCACATTTCTGGCATTATCTAGTGAAGCAAATCACACAAGACAAAATTAAGTGTATCATCAGCCACGTAGACTAACGAAAGCGTGTTTCAGTATTAATCTATGGAAGAAAAGTCTATATTTGACTAAAGACAGCTCCATCCATTCGTGGCCCTTTTAAAACTCACTACTTGTGACTTAAACGTAATTGTTATTCAGTCTTACCTCGATAAAGATTAGGCATGTACACACGATCTTTTCTAATCGGGTTTATTTATTTGTCCCAGGGGCAATCTCTGTACTGGTGGATCATGTGCGATATTGTCGTGACCCGAAAAATCGTGCTACTGCACACCTTTGTCTTCAGAATCTCTGTGCCAACACCTCATTCAAGGCATTCCTGTATCAACGAAGTAAGTTTTCTCAAGTATTCTAATTTCCACGAATTAGACAATAAAAGATATTTGAATCTCTCAGCCTGATTTGATATCATATATTTCTGATAATTATAACTAGATTTGCAGTGGTGAATCTTGTAATATTTGTTTTCCTGCCAGCGTATTTCATTTGTACATTTTTTGAGTACGGATTGAGTATCGATGTTAAAGGGAACTTGAGCTCTTGCTGTACAACGCTTAGTCATCGTCCTCTGAGAGTATCGATATTCCACCCGCAAACCCCCCACCCCTCCTCCCTCTTGGATTAGTAATCGAAGCAACGGCGTTTTGCTCAACTGCCCCGAAACACGTCTGCAAAGAGCAGGTTAGGATTTGTCGAGTCGAATACCTATTGGATATGCTGCTTAACTGGAAATCGTGTTAATGAACATTGGGGACATCAAAGTCCTCCCATCCACTCCCCATCCCACTTCATTAAGCAAAATTATTTCCAGCCAATCAATCAGGGTTCGTTGTTACCTAGGTATAATGTTGGAAGACAACCATGACCAATTTTTCTCACCGTCTATATTTAAACCGTACGTTTTTTTATGGAACCAGGTTCTCCTTTTTTATTTCCTATTTTGAAGTCATCTAATTATTGACCTGAATTTTTGCACAATAGCCGACACTCTAAATGGATGTATTTATTTATATCAAATGGCAGGCGTTTTGATGGTTATCATTAGCCCTTTAGTTGACTTCGGGCTTCGCAGAGGGAAGGTTCATCAAAGTAGCAGAAAGTCGAGGAAGCGGAGCAGAAGAGCGATTCAAAGATGTAAAAGAGACAGACACAAAGGTAGGAAAAAGGTGAGGTGAGTACTGTGGAAGTGGTCGAATATGTCATACAGTGGAGTCATGGTAGTTTGAAGTCAGAAGTCAACGCCGGTTAATAGACTTTTTTGCCGTATGTGTATACGTTGCCCAGGGTGCAACACGTGGAGGTAAATCTATCGCGCACCCCACACTCTGAATGTTTTTTTGTAAAATTCAAGATATATATACAAGTCAACGCTTCCAATTTCTTAAACCACTCAATACGTCATTTACTTTAGCAACGTTTTCTCATCATTTCAGAGTGTGTGTGTGTGTGCACGTTAGGTTACCACGCCTTTGGACATCTAATTGCATGAGGAATACCCCTATATATTACCCTACAATTCTCGTTTGGCAAAATGTGAGACTAGATCAATTAACTTCTCACCGTTATTAGTTTGGTTGCTTTATAGCAAGTCTTATTATTTCTCTTGCAATTTTAATCAACAGTTTTAGCCCTATTCGCGCCCACGGTTGTCTTATCTACTTTTTCGTAGTATGTTGAAAGCGTATAAAATTTACTGCAGGCATTCTGAAGACTCTCATAAAGGTATTTTAAATTCCTATAAAGAATGGTTTCATTTATTGTGGGCGGCCGTTCCAAACAAAGGATGCTCACTGATAGGTGTCACTTAATAAAATTGGAGATGTACCGAATTGAGCTCTGGTATCTGGATAGTCGAACAACGACCACCCGTTAGGTGCAAAGCCAATAATGTCCAATTAGTAGTCTTTTTTTCAGAAAAATACTGCATTTTCTTCTAACCCATTTGTTTTGATCAGTTCGGACATATTGTCTTCCATCCAGATGAATGAGTCAGGCATTAGAGGCGCTAATTCAACTTATGTATTGAATGTCTTCTACCATTCACTTCAGCGCAGCGATTCATTCTAATAATTTTCAAATCCACAAAGAAGACAGGGAGG